ACCCAGGATGGCATGTGTCCTCAATCTGGCAAGTGGCTGCCAGATCTTACAATTACACTCTGAGGAGCTGTCCCACCAATGAAAACGACTCTGCCTTTAGGCCAGGTGTACAAAGACATTTGGCATCTGTCATAGCCAAGTACAGGGGAAATAAATCACTGTTGAGAAACTGAAGTCTAGTACTGTGTTAGGCAGAGTTGCAGGTTATAAATTAATACTACAGTATGGTGCAGGAGACCAAGCCAAGATATTAATATGAAACAAAACCATATTCATCCTAGGGATCTTGAAGAAATGAACAAAATCATCTGTTTGAAACCTTTCACAACTGAGGAATAACAGCATACACACACACACACACACACACACACACACACACACACACACACAGTTCTAATTGAAAGAAGAACTAACAATATAATTTAAGGGGGAAAAGATGGCAAAAATCAAATAAATAAACAAAATCATGGAAAGAGACATTGCTAATGAAAGAGAGAAATTATGATTTGCTGCCATAGAACTGGAGATGATAAAACCATTAAAAGACACTGTGACATAAATATATTTAGATGATTCAAGAGATAAAATAAGATATACACAAAAAAGAACATGAAATAAGAACAAGTAGATTTGAAAAAGAACTAAGCAGTAAGATAAATTATAATTTAGAAACAATGCTGTCATTGTAATCAAAAACCCAGTGATTTAATTATAATAAAATATAAACTAGTGTCCTCAATGACCATATCATCCAGAATGAAATACAGGGAGATATAGATGTGGAGAATGTTAAAGAAAGATTAAAAATATAATGAAAAAAGAAGAAAAAATGTCTACTACTTGTTTATTAGAACTTCTAAGCACAGGAAAGGGGAGGGGGAGTAATATTTAAAGAGAAAATTACTCATAATTTTAAATGTTTGAAGAAAGTAGCCAGACTTAAGATGTGAGTAGCACAAACTGCTCCAAAAAAGTTTAAGAACCAATCTATACCTAGTCACATAAGGAAGCACTTCAAATATGAAAGAGCACTTATAAAAATAACATTAGCAAAAAGATGGATTTTTTAAAGAAGGGTTTGAGGGTTTGATTTAAAGCAGACATCAACAACAACAAATAACAAAGGAAAATACAATATTATCTTGTAAACAAGGAAAATATTGTGTTAATCTACACTATGAAATTCTATCAATCAAGAATGAAGATGAAATAAAAGCATTTCTTAAAAACACACAGGATGATATAATTTGAATTTTAGGAGACCTCAAAGTGAATAAATTGTTTTCATAACCAAGTAGAATATATGTTTTCTTTATTTTATTATAAAACATTTAAACTTAGAAATTGTTTCTTATTAATCTATATATCTCTAACGTGTTAAATAAATCATGAATGAATGAATGTTTTACAAAATGAATAGAGGGATATTATGTCAAGCTACATGCCTGACAATAATTAATATGATTTCTTAATTTGGTTTATTTTTAATGAATTAATTTTTAAATCCAGTTTCTTATTTCTTTTAACTTCTGGTCTTTATTTCTTGACTTTTAAAATTTGTTTCACTTTTAATTAATATCAAATTTTAAATTCACTCATTCACTCATTAAATATTTTCCCTCACTGTATATCCAAGTTTAGAATCTAGCTGTTGACTCAAATATCATTTTTATCTCGTGACACAATTTTTAAAAATATTTAAATATTAAAGACTTTTAATAAATAAATATAGCATGATTCACTATATATATATTTTTAAATTCAATTCTATTTTTCTGGGTAAAATTTCTACCTAAAATCACTTCATGGCCATTCTCATAAAATTGCTCTCGAGTTGGAAAGCTGGCACATAGCCAGGTCCAGTGAGCCACGCTATCTCTATCATAGCTCTCCAGGTGGCACATCTATTCAACCGACAGAGATCTGGGGACATAAATCAATCCTCTGTGGGCCCAAACAGGACCTGTACTGAATGAAGCAGTTGGCTGTAAAATATGCTTTCTTTTCTTATTATTCACTATAATTATTAGAGAAGCACACTCTAATATTGTTCTTGAGACACATGACCTTCTTGATCCACCCTTTATTTCTCCACTCTTGAAGACACACACACACACACACACAGACACACACACACACACACACACACACACTGTATAAAATGTAACTATGACGAGATCTCATAAATAGTAATTGACACAAAACCACTATCTCAGGGAACAATTGGAGTAGTAGGAACTCAGAGGAAGTACATGTCCTATCAAATGAGGCAACCACTTTAATTCTAGCTGATTAAGATGACTACAGGTGCCCTAGCAGTCTTGGCTCAGTAGATGGAGTGTGGGCCTGTAGACCGAAGGGTTGCAGGTTTGATTCTAGTCAAGGGCATATGCCTTGCAGAGTCGATTCCCAGTAGGGGGCATGCAGAAGGCAGCCCATCTATGATTCTCTCTCATCATTAATGTTTCTCTCTCTCCCTCTCTCTTCTTTTCTGAATCAATAAAAAAATATATATATTAAAAAAAAAGAGGACTAGAGGAATGAAGATACACCTGCTAGTTAAACAGAGAATTTTTTCAGTAATTTACCCCAGGGGGATATTGAGACACCCTTGAAGTATTTTATATTGGCCTGAGTGATACATTTTTATTTGTTTATTTATTTATTATTTTTAATTCTCATCCAAGGATGTATTTTTTTTCCATCGATTTTTCCCCCTTTTTTTTAGAGTGAAAGGGAGGGAGAGAAACAGAAAGAGAAATACACATTGGTTGGTTGCCTCCTGCACTTGCCTACTAGACTGAGATGTGGATTGAGCCTGCAACCAAGATATGTGCCCTTGACAGGAATTGAACCTGTGACCCTTCAGTCCACAGGTGACTCTCCAACCACTGAGCAAAACTGGCTAGGGCATGAGTGACCTGGTTTTAATTTGCTGAATTAAACCAATGTTTCCTGGTGCCTGACCCCTGAGGGCTCCAAGCGTGTTTTGTGTCTTCCTCGCCATGGTAGTCAGGTTAATGGCTTCCCAAAGATGTGTCCCTATTAATCACTGGAATCAGTGACTATATGTAGTACATTACAAAGAAAGACGAATCAAGTAAATGAATCAAGTTTGCAGGTCCAGTAACCTAAAAATAGGAAGATTATCATGGATTTTCAGAATCAAATGTGATCACAAAATCCTAAAATGTGGAAGAAAGCAAGAGAAGAGCTAGTATTAAGAGAGGTGAGATATGAGACTGATATCAAGTGGCCAATGATATCTTTAAGGATGGCAAGTATCATGACCCCAAACATGCAGCCAATGTGTAGAAACTACCATGTTTCCCCGAAAAGAAAACATCCTCCAAAAATAAGACCTGCTTACAGGTTTCCTTCTGAGTAAAATATAAGGCATCCTCCAGAAAATAAGGCCCCCCTAGGCTCTGTCTCAGAATGAAAATTAATTTACCATAAACTGGTCGCTAGGGCTTCCCAGACTGGCATCTAGCAACCAGTGATGTTACTCAGAGTCCTGATGTCAATGCTATGTGGAGGCGGAGCCGAGGTCGGAGTGAGCGGTGAGTGTGGGGTGGGAGAGAGGAGGAGACTTTCGCAGATGCATGTAGAAGAACAGGAGGATTAGAGCAGACAGGATGCAGCAAAGGTGGTGAGTGCTGGTCTGTCTCTGGTGACACTATCTGATACTCGCAGCCGCCCTCATGATGACTGAGGTTCTCAGTCAGTGGCAGACCCTGCTCCAGCCCAGATCCAGGCCCCAGGAAGCCCAGTGACAGTCCCCAGGGGGTAAATGTCTGATAAAGGGGTAGGGGGGATATCTGGTTAAGGTGTTCGGTGGCACAGGGGTTGGAGGAGGGGGACCATTTAAAATGACACAGGAGGATCAAAAGGGGTTACTAAAATGGTAATCCCCCCTCTGAATCTCCTGTGCCATTTTGATTCCCCTCTCTGATCGCCCCTGTGTCATTTTATGATCCCCCTCCCCCCACCTTGATACCCCAATTCCTTTATTTTTACCCCTAGAAATGAGCACAAAAAGAAAAAGCTACTCCGTAGAGTACAAGGAAGAATCAAGGAAGATTCTTTGGGCCAAAATCTTACTGCTTTCTGCAAAGAGAAGATGTTGAGTGTCCGATTGGTCTGAAAATGGCGAGCAGAGTATGGTAATCTCATTGAACAAGTGGACAAGGGAAATGTTTAAAAAGCACAAGTGTGGATCAGGTTGGCAACCATTATTTTCTGAGCTGGAAGACCTGATCTGTAAATGGGTTGTTGACAGGAGAGCAAAGGCTTTGGTTGTGAATAGGGCTCAGATTCAAGAATTTGCCTTTGCATCACAGTTTGACATAGCCCCCCGAAGACTTCAAAGCATCACAACACTGGCTGGATAATTTCCTTCAGCCAAGTGAACTGTCTTTAAGAAGATCTACAACATTGTTTAGGTTGGAAGATACTCAAGTTATTAAGCGAGCACTTGCATTCAAGTCCTTTATTGATGATGCTGATTCTCTAAATACAATCTTTCCAACATGATTGCTATGGATGAAACTGCAGTATTTATGGGCCAATCATCTCAAACAACAATTGAACAGCGGGGTGCCTCTTTAGTGTACATCCCTCCACTGCTTACTAAAATGCACGTGTTTCTGTATTTTGGCAATACGTCTGGATGGCACTAAAATCCCATCTTTAATCATTTCTAAGGGCAAGAAGGAAAGATTGAACATGTTTTGGGCGTTTTTATTCTTGAAACTGAAAATACCTGGGCCACACAAGTAGTTATAAGGAAGTGGGTCAATTTATTGCTGCCGCTTGTTATGGGAGGGAGCCAAAGAGGTCTGCTAGTCTGGGATGCAGCCAGCACTCACCATGCTAAAGACATGAAGACGTTTTTTTCACGAAAGAAAATAGATCAGATAATGATTCCTACAGGAATGATGGCCTAACTCCAGACTCTTGATATTGCAATAAACAAGCCTTTCAAAGACAATTTGCGCATGGAAATTAATGACTACATTGAAAATAGAATGGAGAGAAATCAGTGTGGAAACTTTGTGAAACCTAAACTGCAAGAAGTTGTGACTTGGGTGAAGAATTCATGGGAGAAAATCACTGACAGTTGCATTGCAAATGCACTGAGAGCAGGCTACCTTGACAAGAAGTACTCATTTAAAGACAGTGCTATTGCTAAACATGAGAGATTTGGTCCACTGATTCTGAAAGAAATGGAGTCACAAGAAATTCACCAGGAAATTCAGGAATTGGATTGTTATGATGGTGTTCCAGAAGATGATGACATGATTGTCATTGAATAAATGAGTAAATTCTTGATACTGTAGGATTCACAGTTTGGTTTGTATTGACAACCACCGTACTTACCGTACTGTATACAGGTAATAAATTTTCTTTATTTTCATTTAACAATAATGTGTACCATATTCTTCTTCATGGAAAAATAAGACATTCCCTGAAAATAAGATCTAGTGCATCTTTGGGAGCAAAATTTAATATAAGACACTGTCTTATTTTCAGGGAAACAGGGTAGAAAAGGCAAAAAATAAATTCTTTCTGAGAGCTTTGAGATAGGCGATATCTGACTCTAGATAGGCAAGATCGATTTAGACATCTGTCGTCCAGAAAGGTAGACAATAAAGTAGTTCTGTTTTAAGCTACTATTTTCATATTAATTTATCTTAACAGGAAAAGGAAACTAATATCCTTACTGACATATATTTGATCTTCTAGTTATTGATTTATCCTGACGCTTGACTTTCCCATGTGTTCCATCTGCTAGTCTGCATTATTGAAAATTGACCTGTCCAATTAGACATTCATTTTTCCTTCTCATGTGATCCTGTTTTACCTGAGACTAGATGCCTGGTGCATGAAATTTGTGCACAGGAGAGAGGGTCCCTCAGCCCAGCGTGTAATATCTCACAATCTGGGACTACTGGCTCCTAACCACTCACCTTCCTGCCTGCCTGATCACCCCTAACCACTTGCCTGCCTGTCTGGTCACCCCTAATCTGTCTGCCTGCCTGCCTAATTGCCCCTAACCACCTCTGCCTTGGCCCCTGTCACTGTGGCTTCATCTGGAAGGATGTCTGTACATTTGGAAAGCCATTCGCTGTCTGATTTAATTAGCATATTATGTTTTTATTATTATAGATAATTTGGTACCTGCGTTTAACTTGGATTTTGATCTCACTTTTAGCATTTGTCCTCTTTGAACTTGCGTTTTGTAATCTATAAAATGACTACCTCATAGGTTTACAGAAAATATAAATTTAAATATTGCATCTAACTCACTTAGCACAGTGACTAACTCATAGTGAAATTTTAAAAAATAAATAAATAAAAACTATAGCCCAACCAGTGTGGCCCAGTGGTTGAATGTCGACCTATGAACCAAGAGGTCAGGGTTCAATTGCTGGTCAGGGCACATTCACAGGTTTGATCTCCAATAGGAAGTGTGCAGGAAGCAGCCAATGAACATTTTTATCTCATTGATGTTTCTATCTTTCCTTCTCTCTTTCTATGTGAAATATATACTTATATAACTTTAGGTAATATTATTTTGTTGAAGTTTTTTTTTAATATATTTTATTGATTTTGTACAGAGAAGAAGGGAGAGAGATAGAGAGTTAGAAACATCGATGAGAGAGAGTCATCGACCAGCTGCCTCTTGCACACCCCCTACTGGGGATATGCCCGCAACCAAGGTACATGCCCTTGACCGGAATCGAACTCGGGTCCTCCAGTCCCCAAGCCAACGCTCTATCCATTGAGCCAAACCTGTTTTGGCTATTTTGTTGAAGTTTTATCCTTTTTAAATTTCCATACCAATATAAAATGATATAGCTCCTTAGTTACTATTTTCCTGCCTCTATATGGAATACAATTCTGAGTCCTTGATGCTGCCTTTACTTTATTTAATGACATTCACATTCATCCATTTCCTTTATACTGATTTTATACATAGGCTATACCTTTTGTATTTACATGCCTTTCTCTACTCTGGTCCTGGTATACCTCAGTCTGCTCTGTTCAGCAATCACATTTGACATATTGACACTTCCTGATGTTAAAAATCAGAACTTTAAAAATGATCTTATCAGGATGTTGGAATTCATGTACTTAGAATGACAGGTAACATGACTTAACAATGCATATATAACATGCATGCTGAGGAACCTACATAATTTACTTTCAAATATACAATTCCAGTTTACCACTTGTCCAATTCACAACTATGGACCCAGGTTATAGAAAATATTTGATACAACTTTTGACAGAATCTTTATAAAGATAGCTAGCTATGATATGAACTAAAACCAATGACTTCAATTACTTTTCCCCTGGTTTTCCTTTAAGAAAACAGAATTATAAGTAAATAATAATAAAAAATATATATATTCTGTGCTCATATTTTTCAAAATAATTTTTCTAACAGTTTAATCCATATTAATTCATTTCAAACCTATCTCTTTTGCAGAGAATAAACTAAATCACAGAGAGGTTAAATACCTTGCCCAAAGCCAAGAGAGTAATTATAAATCAAGGATTTGGGTCCAGGTGTAAATTAGAAAGCTTCAACTTTTAAATACTACAAGATTCTAATAATAAATTTAAAATTATATTTATTACAATTTGTTATGGACTGAAGTGTTGCCTACATATTTATACTTAGCCCCACCTTCATCTTATGATATTAGATTTGGGAGATAATTAAGTTATGAATATGGAGCTCTCATGAAAGGAATCAATGCCCTTATAAAAAGAGTTAAGTCAGCTCATGCCTTTTTCTCTTTCTGTTCTATGCCATGTAAGGATACAATCAGATAGCCATCTATTGTAAGCCAGGAAATGGGTCCTCATCAGACACTGTATCTGCCAGCATCTTGATCTTACACTTCCCAGTGACCAGAAGTTTGAAAAATTAATATTTGTTATTTAAGCCATACAGTCTATGATAATTTGTTACCGAGGTTAAACTATCTAAGATAGAGGCATTAAAAGTGATTGCATCATACTATTTATTGAGGAGTATGATTTTTATTTTCAGACTTCTAAGAATGCATTATCTCATCTAACTTTTGTTCTAAATAGAAATATAGAGGGTCTATATTATAGAAATATAGAAGTACATAGGATTTATATTACAGTTAAAGAAGAACAACAAACTATGATGAGTTCATTGAAAAATTACTAATGATAAGAAAAAAGATAATTAAGTAGACTAAAAAGTAGCACAACTACATGACAGAGTAAGCTCTTGTTATTTCATTAGTTTTGTTGAAATGTTTAAATTGCCAGCCTAGTAGTTATAAAAAAGGCTTAACAACACAGATGAATATATATATATTTCTTTTCTATTTGAATAACACAGGAACACAATTTTGACTACAGACATTGTGATCAATAGGATTTATTCATTAGTAACTAATTTCAGCTCTTTCCATTATTCATGTTTTTCTATTAAATGCAATAGAGAAAATTGTTTAAAATCCAAATTGAGCAGCTTCTAGGCAGGCTTTCTAGTCCAATCATATGTAAGGTAAAATGTGTTTCCAATGTCTTTTATATACAGTCATCAAAAGTAGTTTAGAGAAACACCAAGAGGAGTTATATGTGTGTATATAAACACACACACACACACACACACACACACACACACACACACACACACTTTTTTAAAGATGACAGCCATCATGTTAAATTATGTAATCTTCCTAAACACTACTTTCAGGAAAAGAAAAATTTACCTTTGATGCAATATCAACTGACATAATTTATAGAGCTATTTTCATGGAAATTGAATTTTGGAGTGGAAATTTGGTAACTATAAAATGTCATTCTTTGTCATATAAAACCAATAATTATACACTGGATAATTATGAACATTCACCAAAAACTACAAAATGGCTTTACATTGGCAAGTTCTATTTAAAAGAGTAGGATATTTACAAATGTCTTATTTAATATACTAGAGGCCCAGTACATGAAGTTCATGCACTTGGGGGTGGGGGAGAGTGTCTCTTAGGCTAGCCTGCACCCTCTCCAATCTGAGACCCCTAAGGGAATATTCCTCTCACAATCCAGGACTGCTAGATCCCAACCACTTGCCTGTCTGCCAGCCTGATTGACGCTTAATTGCTCCCGTGCTGGCCCGATCACCCCCAACTGTCCTCCCCTGCAAGCCTGGTCTCCCCTCAATTCCCCCCCTGCTGGCCTGGTCACCCCTAACTTCCCTCCCCTGCTGGCCATCTTGTGGTAGCCATCTTTGACCACATGGGGGTGGCCAACTTGCATGAGGATGTGAGGGTCAATTTGCATATTACCTCTTTATTATATAGGATTATTTTAAAAGTTTCTAACACATTATCAGGTGATAGCTAAAAATGAGCCTAGGAGAATAATTAGTCATACATAATTTCTTTAGGTAACAGAAGAAACAATAATCATGGGAGATGTTTGGTATATTTAAAGTCCTTTCTTGGATGACACTGCATTTTGGGAAGCTATGACATTTCTCTCCTCAAAGAATGAAGACCAAGAAATAGAAGTTGGTTGGTTCCTAAAATACAAAACATTATTGCTCAACAGGCTTGTAATCAACTCTATATATTGAAATCTTTAAATCAACTATGTTTGATCAAGGTTTATAACATCAATAAAGTAAGCACATTAAAAGAGCACAAATTTTAGAGTTAGATAAATTCATTTAATCATGACATTGGCACTTAATATGATGATTAAATCAAGTTTCCTCATACAAAGTAATACCTGGTATCTTTTTATTGAACATAAAGAAATGTTGTACAGTATATTCTTTAAGGAAACTTGCATAATCAAGAAATGAGTGGCAACAAAAACAAAATGTATTTTGTCATAGGAAATTTTATCATGTATTAGTCTTTAAAATGGTTTAAAGGTTATTTTAAAATATAATTTGTGTTTATCTGTATAGTTTATAAAAAGTGTACTGCACCCACTTTAACTGTCTTAATTGGCCAGCTGAGTTGCTACCTTGCAGTTCTCCATGAGGCTCTAGGTATGTGAGAGTAGTCAGCTCTTTGAAGGCAATCTATCATAAAATCTACTAGAAGCACATCAAAACCAGGTTGATTCTATTTTACTGATTATTTGAATCTTCTTTATATGTGGTCTCAAACATCATAAACTAGAAAGAAAGAAAAGTATTTGCTTTGAGTTTAAATCCTTCATTTATGAATAAAGAAGTTAAAACACATTTTTCTCTGAGCTATGCCATAGGCATTCTTAAATTTCTTGGTGGATATAACCATAATTTGTG